CAGTAATCTGTACTGCACCATACCCTACAAATTCAAGTCGGGTGCCACAAGCGTTTAAAGATCACTATCCCTCGGATAGCTAGGTGCAAATTGCAACGATGGTTTCAAGATGGATGTGAACCAGGTTTTACTTGATTGCATAACCTTCTCCCATGATCGACTTTCATTAGTCACAGTGGCAACTACAAGTAAGAATCGGCTTGGAGGATTAAAAATGTGACATTCTTCAGTTTGTTTTAGTGGAAAATAAGGCACACACATGCACAAAAACAGAGACGAGAGTTTTTAAATTGACATGATATCACGTGGGATAAAATAACTCGTGATGTTTTCAGGAAGATCTGCAGTACTTCAAGGACTTACCATAGCTGATATTCAAACTCCATTTCTTTGTGAATGGGGTAACGTTTGGCACAAATGTTAAGTGGGACATTGGGAGCACTCAGCGATAGTCGTGAGAAAACGGTTGTCTGCCGAATTACTTGGAAATTATGCGGAGCTAAGAAATTAATCCCACGCGTTAGGCATTTGATTTCCTCAAGATTTTGCCAACAGGCACCTGTTCTGTCGTTTGTAACTGGACAGTGATGCAGCAGAGTTGCAGTGAGTCGCATCAATTAACATACGTTAACCCGGCTGCATCATTTTCGAAACACTTCGTTCTGTCCCCACGCCCAATTTAGCCCCGCCGCACCATCTGCTTTTATACACTAGGTGCATGTAACACAACTTGGCTGAGGCATCTAGCTAAAGGTCGTCTCGTCCGCCTCTGGTCTTCTGCTTGTCATCTCGGGTATCTGAGTGGCTTGAAAGGGCCAAGTCAATACTGCGGTCTCGGCGTGGTTCAAGACCACATTCAGGGACCCTCAACGGAGTTATTGCGAAATTTTCGATACTGATTGTTGATTCATGGTCCACAATACCCATGTGGCATCCTGATTAATTGGATGCCTAAGTCTCATGTCTTGATGCATATTAACCCAATTTTTATTGTAATTGCTACTCTCACGTGCCCTTAGAACGTACTCTTAAAAAAGTATCATCATCAAAGAGTTGTCACACAAAATCTTTGGCCTTTCTTTTGTTCACAAGCATTTGTAAAAATGGAAGCACAGTCACATGCAGCTACACTAATGTGACTGCGAACTGCTCTAACTGTGATGCGACAATGCTGGGGTCAGCAATTGCAGAAACACTCTCAGGTAGGTAGACCTAGTATGTGGAGTGTGCAGAAATAACGTGTCAGATAATTACA